TGCCGGGACCGGGCCAGGGCCCGCTTTTCCCTTCTCCCCAGCCCCGTGGAGCTCTTGTCGTCCCCTGCTAGACCCGCTGCTGCGGGGCCCGAAGGCAGAGGGCGAAGTGATGCTGCACGGCTGCTGGCCTTCCGTGAACTCAAACGTTCAGGGGTTTTTATAGCGTTAACCCAGTACTACCCCAGTATGCCTACGCTTAGGAACCTGTCAGAGGACAGACTGGGGAGATCCTCGGTAGGAGTTAAAAAAAAATAAAAATCTCACAAGTAGGAAGCCTGTGCAAAGTTTTGCTCAAGTTGTGTGAGCTTCTTTGGGGAGGTGCGGAAGCCAGTGCGGTTCGGCGCGGGATGCTGGGATGTCCGATCCAGCACGGGAGAGGCTGCTAATGCCTGGTCGACATCAACGGGGACGGGCTGATCAGAGCAGCGGCAGGATCCTTGAGTATCTGACTGCCAGGCATAAGTGCAAATGTCTTTGTCTCTTTCTCAGCTAATGCCTTGATTATATTTGCAGTGAAAGCGTACCCAAATGGGTCCACGAAGTTATTCGGCCGATAGCAGCGGAATTGGAGTTCCTTATGCCGCAACCCTTTGTGGGGGAAATCCTGGGACTTTGCAAAGCACTGGGAATAAGTCTTGGAGATGGAGTTCTGCTTAACTTTGCCTACGAATCTACCGCGTAAGTGTCTGGTACTTACAGAATCTGGTAGAAACGGATGTAGAGTTTCACTTTAGTTCAGCATGGGAGAACGCCCGTAAAAGGCAGGTGAAGACATGCGGCGACTGATTTGCACGGTTCGTTCTCGTGCTGTTCCGTAAGTTCATCTGGAAGGTTTCATTCTCCTTAGGTTGTCTCCTGAATTGAACGAGAAATGCAGGGCAGTATTTTTATTTGTCAATAAAGATAACGCGTAGTTGTAACATTTTTGTGTGTACATATCTGTATAAATGTATACAAGCATGAAAAATATTTCTGCTAACGAGGAAGGGCCGTCTATTCAAAGTATTTACGGCCTTAGAATCTTTGAAGATCACGTAAGGTACTCTTGTTGTTTAAATTGTCGTATTTCACCAAAAAGGAAACTAGAAGAATTAGTTGCCATCTTAATTATTTTAACCATTCATCTGAGATAAATTTGCTTCCAAACCATTTTCTGGATGAACATTCACAATGGCTGGATAATGTAATTTTTTGATTTGCACAATGGGAAGTGGATGTAGGATCTTTATGACAGCAAACAAAACCTCAGTGGAGAAATCCCTCAGTTTCATTGTTTGTTTGTTTGTTTGTTTTTTCCCTAGAAGCATGTGCAGGAGAATAATAAACACTTGGTGTTGTCTGTGAAGGACCTAAAAATCTTCTCTGTGTAGGTTTTAATAAAAAATAGGTGCTTACAGCCACTTGTACGCATTTTGATTATTAATTTTCATTATGCGTGGTATTCTGTTAAAGCGATTTATTTTTTTTAATAAGGATTAATATCAGATAAGACAGTAATTTAAACACTACCTTTCTTAGTATTTCACAGAGGACGCTTATCGTTCTTAGTCCTGGTAAGGCCTGTGAAATTTTAATTTTCTTAGCTGTTATGATACTAAAGAAAAAACGTCAACTGGGAACAAGCTACTTGTCTGCAAAATTTTTTACCTTTAGAATTTGGAAACAGTGCTATGCATCACTGGAATGGCAGACTCATAACTCCAGAGAAAATAAATTTTTAATTCCCTGCTAATTCAATATACTTTATAAAAAAGCCTGTTTCGATGAAACTGAAACTTATTAAAAAAACAGTTTCAGCACACTTCCTGTTCTAGAGAAGAAGTTAGACTTAGTGAAACAACTGACACTTTAATGACAACTAATGTTTTACGCTTGATGGGACTTTGTTTGAACTTTTTATCTAGTTATGATTAAAAATATAGATTATCTTGTTTCAGTTCGGACCGCGTTTATAACTGTCAAAATGCAATCCAGGAAGTTTCAGACTGATACTTTGTGGATGTTTTTAGATGTCAGCTTTTCATCTCGATTTAGACAAGTAGTAGAATGTAGTAATTAATTTTGTCCCAAGTGGAGATGCTGCTTCCTACCTGGTCTGTGATATCTGTCCTGATGCGGACAGTGGTGCGGCTTTTTAGTTTTGAGCCAGGTGGGAGCCGATAAGTATCGTTCAGTTTCCCATGTTAGACTCTGCGGGAAAGGACTTTCCCTTATGGATATCGAGCGTAAGTCATATAGGACATTGTAGTGCTGTATAGCTAGGCAGAGCTTCGGTCAAACCATTTTATTTTTTTTGGTCCCAATTTGAAGTTTAAACCTGTAAGAAATTGTATCAGAAAGCATAGGATAGACCGTTCTCTCAGGTTGGGAAGCATAAATGTTAATGATACAATGCAAACTCCTATTTGTATGCTTACGTTAGTAAAATGCTTTGCAGAAAATAAACTGAGTTACTCCTTTGGAAACGTTGAGCTAGTTCAATAGACTGTAACAGTGAAATCATTCTTTGTCCTTTTTATTTTTGAAGGTTCTGTACTAGTATTGTCGCTCAGGATGACAAAGGAAACATTTACCACGGTCGGAACCTGGATTACGGTTTTGTCGATATATTAAGCAAGATTACAATTGACGTGCGGTTTATAAAAAGCGGGCAGGTATGATCTGGGGTTGACGTGGCTGGGTGGTATTCCGGGAAGGAACGGGGTCCGGTCATACAGCTACCGTAGGTGGTGGGATTTAATGTAGGAATCTGGTTTCCATCCCAAGTTTTACTGGATTATAGAGCGCCACAGTCACTCTGTCCACGAATGCGGGATGAACGATGGTTTACTTTGGCTTCTGGACATGCAGTTTGTGGTGAGGAACTGGAACAATAGAACAGCATAATCTAGTATCTCAAGATCGTTATTTGGAAGGAGATGATGAAAGAAGGAGATGTTGAGATATTAAAAAAGAAAAGAAATACTACAGAATATACAAGAGAGATCCATTTTGGCAGGAACTGATTTTAAGGCTTTTTTTTTTTTCTAAGCCCTTGTTAAATTTTGTGACCGGGGGGGGGTGTGTGTGTGTGTGTGTTAGATGAAAGTTTCCAAAAACCAACTAGTTGCTAGTGCAGTCCTCGTTAATGGGATTTTCTTAACATTCATTACTCCGTTTTGCATGTGGAGAACTTCTTGGTTTTTTTTTTTTTTTTTGTAGCAGTTGGTGATGGTTAACCCATGAAATGGAGTGAATATTGGTCCTCAGAGGTTTTTTGTTATGATTTATTTTGCAAGTTTTACTGTAACTTAAGGCAAAGTGGTGTATAGCAACTTATGTATGAAAGTCACAGAAAAAAGTACAGGGTGCTGCTTGAGAATGTTGCCTGTATTTTAAGTAGCGCTCTGTTCCAGAATGCTAAAATACTGCGTGTTTCCTGGTTTCAGATAGCGTATCAAGGCACCACGTTTCTTGGTTACGTAGGCTTATGGACTGGACAAAGTCCGCACAAGTTCACAATCTCCGGTGATGAACGAGGTAATATAAATCCGCCTTCCGCGCTTGGCTCTACGTACGCTGTTTTAGTTGATTGTTGCCTGCTCTGGCCCTTCTCTTATATTCTCCTAGAGGGAAAAATACAATTAAGGTTGCCAGGAAGGAGCTGAAATTGAACGACTTCTTTTGCCCTCCGGGAGTGAAAGCACGCCTACTGCCACTTCTTGGCTGCTGCATAGGAGAGAGGTATTTGTGTGTCAGCACAGTGTCATCTGAGCTTGAAGAGTGTCAGAGACAGAGGACCTTAGGGAAAGCCGTAAAACACAAATTAACGTGGTCTGTTCAAGAGGCACAATTGGAGACAACAGAGTAGGGGTTGAGGGCAAGAGATGCGGTTGTGTGTAGCAAATAAATGGCTGCTTTCCTACTTCTCTGTCCTTCCTCTGCATTCCATATTTCTATGTCACCATACGGCAGCTTGAAAGAGCGGATGGGAAAAGCAGCGTAAGACTGAGAGATCTTGGGGAAAGGCAGCAGGCCTTGAGAGAATGCGTGGAGGTCCTGGAAAAGCACCTGAGGAAAGATCCCGCAGTAGAGGAAAGTTGAGAGATGTCACTACTGAGAACTAAAACTTGATGGTGGAAGGGACTGGAACAGTCAGGAAGGCAGAGGAAGGGTCCCTGCCTTGTCCATCTGTGCTTCCGTTTCACAGATATTGATAGTTATGTCCATTTCAGAGCTTGGGTTTGGCTCTTCCATCCCTTCCTCCCTCTTTTTCTTTCCTTTTTTAAAAGCAGACGCTTTTTGCTGTTCTTCATTAGCTGTTTGTTAGAACTGGAAACAATTGAGTTAAAACCAACACCTAAACCCAATGCTGATTTTTCACTTGTGAATGTGGTAAGCGTTTTTTCTTTGTATTCTTTTCTTTTAATTAGACAATCTTTTGGTTTTGGGAAATCTTCTTAGATGTTATGCAAACACTATTGACTGTGTATATTCTATATGTATTCATTCTCTCTCCGAGTAGGGATTCTCCTGTGGAGCACGTGCACCTTGTGATTGCGGTTTCCTTTGTTAATACTGCCTTGTTGCATTTACTAGATTGTTTCTATAGTTTACACGCATATATTTTTAAGAGCCTGCTTCTGATGCCAGTGTAATTACTTAGTCCTTTCAAAACTGGAGTGTCCTGGGCTGATGCTGAGAGATGCAAACCGCTTTTAGTTCATAATAACATCAGCTTGGAAATAAAGTCTGAAGTTTGTCTTTGCAAAAGGCTTGATTTAGAAGATCGTGCGAACGGTGAGGTGGTTTCGTCCGTGCACAACCCCATTCTGTTCCCCTGATTGCGATAGAGGCGTCAAATACCGCACACCTCGGTGCGTGATGGGCCCCTCTTGTCAGTCGGCAGGTGATGTGCTGCCATCCACCTGTGTACCTTGACTTCAGTCGCTTGTTACCTACAGACAGTAGTAACTCACTCCACGCGTGCTGTGCTCCTGTAAATAGTTGTTGCTGACTGCGTGCTGCTTTATTTGTCACTGTACAACTGAACTAAAAATTTAGGGAAACGAGCATGTGAACTATAGCTGGAAAGGGGGATGACTCTAAATTAGGGTGAAAGTCTATCAAGTGACAAGCATCTTGTTTCTGCTGGCTTTTTCTAATTGTGGCATATGAATAATTATAAACTTGACCTTCTGCTTTTCTTAGTTTCCTCATTTTCTCCAGTAACATAGAAACACCATCGCTACCTCTTTTTTTAGCCATTTCATGATTTCTGTGCAATTCTTCCTGTTTTTGTAATATTTTGGTAAGATGAATAATGAGGTGATTCATGCTAATATTTCAGCTGGCGAATGCAGACCACTATATCAAATGAAGAGACCTGCAGTCCTTTTGGAAATGTGTGTTACAAGGTGCTAGCCCATGTTGCAGTCATCTTTGACTCCTCCTTGCTTATCATTCAGCTGTGAATAAAATCTGTTTAAAAAGGGAGCAGCTCCCAAGTTATCAATACTGAAAGGAACGTGATAGTTTTTGATTGAAATAGCTAGCACTGGCAAGTTGTGAGAGACTCTGTATTTTCTGTACAGTGCTGAATGGTGTCTTTATTTTCCGCTGTACCTCGGGCCCCCTACCTTTTTATGGCACCCTTTTATGGTACTGGTCACAGGAATATTGTACCTTTCAGAAGACACCAAAAAGCTAAGATAACGATTACTCCTGTCAATACAGGTCTGAGATGCTTTCTGGAAGGCAGGGTGTTAATCCAGCTGCCCTGGTTGAACTTCAGTTGGGATTATGTTGTCTATTTATATTTCACCTGTAGTTTCACCTGGAAGTTACGCTCTTTGTTAGCCCCTCTCCTGAAACGTTGCCATTTTATGCTGATACATAGCTGCCCTGTTTCACTGAGGATTTAGCTTTCTGTGGTAGTTCAATATCCAAATGTAATGATATAGAAAATTGAGCATTGGAAAGACAAATTTTGTAAAATGAGGGCTCGCCAGGGCACGATAGCCTGGTTGTGCAGCACATGCTGCGTATTTTATATATAGATATATCAGTAAAGAGATACAGAAGAACAGGAGCGCTATCAGCATTCAGCGTTCTAGATGCTCAAGGTGGTACAGAGGCTCCGACTGCTTTCAGGTGGTGCGTGCTCTGTCACTTCGGTATACGCTGCCTAAATTTGATGGTTTTATGATAGCAGTATAATTAGAGAATTAAACAATTTATTGCACCGCTCTTTTGTAATGCAGTGGAGGGAAAGGTGGCAGGGCTAGAGATGAGACACGGAAAATAAAGGAAGGCAGGAGGATAGATTTCACAGAGTGTACGTAACACACGTGTGTAGCAATTTTCTTTTTTTTTTTTTCCAGAGGGTGGTAGGTGGTGGGAAAATGCAATAGCTGCTTTTCTGAATCGGAATTACCCCGTCAGCTGGCTTGTCCGAGACGTAAGTGTGCCGAGTTATTTTCTCATATTTCACAGCGATGTCATTAGTATTTATAAAGTCTTGGTAAATTTGATGTTCCAACTCTTAGTTTCACAGAAAATTGCTAAGTAAATGCATTTCATAAGAGGGAATAGGTATTGTCCCCAAATCGTCAGCGATGTGATGAGAGGCAATTCCAGTCCTTCAGGGGGACAATCTCCACTTGATGCCACAAGTCTTTGAGAAGCTGTGCAAAGACTCCCTTCCTAGGGAGTATTTCAGGTAGCTGTGATTTGTAATTGAACAAATTGAGGCACCTGCACTCTTAGCTGCTTAGTACCTGAGCCAGTGGTTATTTGACGTTACATTTGATGTGTTACCGTATTAAAATTGCAGAGCTCCCTGGGGAGCGGCAGGAGTTAGACCGGTATTTTGTATGGGACATTTTATGAATCTTGTGTTAGGCCGCTACTAAGATAAAACAGGTCTGCTGCTTCTCAGAGTCATGAATTAGTCTCACCTCACTTAAAGCAATGCCTCTGCCTTATTCACCACTGTTACCTAAGTCCTCTTAAACCACTGGTGAGACAAAGACGTGGAGTGGGGTTTTTTTCGCCCCTTTCATCCGCTTTCCTCTATCCCGTTGTTCACATTGAAAGACTTTGTTGAGGATGGAATTTGCAGAGTATGGACGTGCCTCTGTCTTTTGAATGGCAGATGTTTCGGCTTTTTTCACTTTTGACCGTATACATATGTGTACGTATACGTGTATGCACATTTACTGTTTTCTTTGAATATTTGCAAAGCTGGGATTAATGAGTTCATTTACTAGTCACGTGCATTTCATGTTGATACACGAGTCAGTTTGGAAAACTATTTTCAGAGAAATATTTTCAAGTAGCCCTTTATAGTCAATTGCCATTTTCATAGAAGCTGAACCTTTTCTTCTTTTTAAGATGTTCCAGTGCTCGTTTTTGTGCTTGACTGTGCTCTGTGATCTTATTTCACTGTGATCTCCTTTTTGCATTAGACCCTGAGCAGAGCAGAGGACTTTCAGTCAGCTGTTCTCAGACTAGCGGGCATTCCCATCATTGCTGAAGTTTACTATATTGTAGGAGGTGTATCGCCCAAAGAAGGCATGGTCATAACGAGGAATAGAAGAGGGCCAGCAGATCTCTGGCCTCTCGATCCTTTAAGTGGAGCGTAAGTAGGAAAAAAAAAGGTTTATTTTGTTTTTTTCCTATTCTCTCCGGAGTGATAGGCGGGGTTAGTGACACAACTTTCTTGAGCGACTCGGGCTCATGTCTTGCTAGTGCTTACAGCTGGACAGGGAAAGCTTGAAAGCCTGCGAAAGGAAGCCCAGTCCCTTCTCATGGAGAAGGAATCACACCACCTTGTCAGGTTAGGGCAGTCCAGAGCATCAAGGGTGGAAAAAGCATCTGTATGCGTTTATTTTTTAGCCAGATTCCAAAAGAGACAAGGCTTTCGAGGGCTTTTCCTTGTCTGTCTGCCAAGTATTGCACCAGTCAATTCAGCACGTCCAAATTAGTTTTGATCCAATGTGGTAGAAGGGTTGAAGGCTCAAAAATAACTTCCTGTCAATTTTGTGAAATCAGCGGCTTAATATAGGAAGGAGATCCTAAATAGTTGCCCTGCGGTGAAAAATGGCACTTACTGCCTACAGTCAGCCAGTAAATACTGGCTTGGCAACAGCTACGTGGCCTGTTGGCTTCCCGTACTCCAGGCTGAATGCTGCGGGCTGCACCGTATGCACACCCGTAATCTTGTCTCTGATCATCTCTTTAAAGGTCTGATCTTGCTTTTATTGTAGTCAGTAGCAGTTTTGTCGCTGACGTTCAGAGGTCGCTCCTTTTTAATTTGCGTTCAGTAGTTTATGGTAAAGACCGCCATGTGTTTCAACATAGGATGCTTTGGGCTGGCGAGAGACATGGGAAAGAGGCTTTTGAGGGAGTTTTGTTCCTTTAGGCGATGCAGAGATACTGATTCTCGGCTTTTATTAGTTACCTGCTGATTTGCCTTTGTTTGCTTTTATGTTTGTGTGTTGTGTTATAGGTGGTTTCGTGTGGAGACAAATTACGACCATTGGACTACTCCTCCTCCTTGTGATGATCGAAGGTAAACTTAGTTTGCAGCTCTGGGTGAGATAACACTTTTATTTTGAAAAAGCCTAGAGACTTGGGTGTTTTCTTCTCTGAGCAGGTGTTAGCTCGTTGAGCAGGCAGCTTGTTCAGTTTCTGTAATGCTACTCAAAAGGGAACAGGTACGGTAAGGAGGGATATTCACGTTTGCCAGAGGGTAGTCTCTGGCATTGAGTGGCATAAAAGATGAGAAATTGCGAGGATAAGGCATGTACCAAAACTTCTTCATAAAGCAAAGATGAGTAAAAGTTTAAAGGATTTAGATTCAGAGTGAAAAAGTATTTGATGGCACCAGGAAGGCGCTCGCAGACATCGTGCAATCTTTAGGCTGTGTAGTATGTAAAAAGCTGTGGCAGATTGCCTGTTGGTCTGTAGTCAGTGCTGTAGTAATAGAGTAGCTTCAGCAATGTGAGACTAGATTCAGTCAGAATCTGGACAGAACTCTGGATTATATTAGGCCAAAGCAAGCATTTCAATGTAAAGGCATTTAGTGAGAAATTTTTCACGTTGGTGCTTTGTGGCCTTTGGAACACTAAAGCGTGTTTAACGATACTGTGTTGTTTTCCTGCAGAACTCCAGCCATCAAAGCTCTCAATGCTACCGGACAGCAGAACATCAATTTTGATACGCTCTTTAAGGTATTTATTTTAACTTCTGCATTGTGACTTTGACTTTTTCAAAGAAAAAGTGCGGTTGCGCTTTTGTCAGGGATTTAAAAGCTGAGCAAGGAAAGCGTGGTGGAAAACGCGTACTGCACAACCACGTCTGCAGCGTTTAAGACTGATAAATTTGTTAAAATGTTTCTGAATTCCCTCGCGTAGGTGTTTCGTAATAGTCTGCAGTTCAAGTGGAAAGTGCAAGAGGTGAATCCCATCACCATCATCTTTGTGCTGTTCCTTATTTCAAGCACAATGATAAATATTACAGCGGGCGGATAAAGTGTTAGACATGAGTGATATTTACCGGTTAGTTTGGAGAACTTAAATCCTGCGTATTTCAGAGCACTTCTAAAAAATATTTTTGTAAAATGGTCTGATGTTTAAAGAAAACCCCACCAAACAAAAATAAAACAGGACTTTGGAAATCCTGGACTTTGCGTTATTCCTTTGCATAAGTTCCATCCTACTGTTTCTAAGTAGCCTTTTAATTCCTTCTTCATTTATCAAAATGTCAACTCTTCAAACTTTCTGTACAGGTGTTGTCAGTGAAGCCAGTCTTAAACAAGTAAGTATTAGATTCAGAGCTGTTAATCAGCGCCTCCCGCCATGCCTCAGCCACTTAAGTCAATCACAAACTTCCTTTGGATTTCCCTATGCGTCTGTCTGAATATCTTGCGGTTTCCCACCTTTGATTCCTGCTTGCGCACGGGGCGCTGTGCTTTCACTTCCACGGCGCTCTTCCTCTTTTGTCGGCCGCTCTAGCCAAGAAACTACACTTTGTTAGGCTCGGTCTGGTTAACGAACTGGGAAGTTCCTGCATAGCAGTGAAACAAATGACTGCTTAGAGGAGCAGCTGGACTTTCTGCCCAGTCATTTGTGCCTTTCACTTTTGAAACCTTTGGATTTGTGTTAAGGCTGCAAATGGCTTTCTCTGGGGTTTCGGATGTAGCTCTGCTTGATGTGTAAAAAGGAAAAAAATAGTAAATGGGGACATAGCTTTTAGGTACCATTTTCGGGGTTTTTGAGAGAGATTTATTTCAGTATACCATTATTGTTCTGCGTTGTTCTGCAAACTGCACCTTTGCAGCTTATCCTGTTTTGTTTGACTTTTATATGGAGGTCAGCGTGTTCTCTGGATCAGAACTTCTCCTCTATCTTACAAATGTGAGGAAATTTGGAAAGAAGATTGTATCGGTGTGACCGCTAAGATTAACAGTACTGATTTTTTAATACAGTGATGAAATGGATGTTGAAGTACAGTTCCTTTGCTGGACTAAGTGGGGGAAAAATAGTAAAAATCGATGCCAGCAGCCTTTATTTTTATCAGTCTCTTTCCCACTTTTTCTAACCCTTCTGTACCCCAAAGCGGAAGGTTTGTATCCGCTTAAATTTGTTCTGCTGCTTTGCTAGTTTTGGAAATTAATCTTCTTGCTTGTGGAATGTCACTCACTCTTTTCCTCTTCCCCTGCCAGTAACACCGTGTATACGACAGTAATGAGCGCTGCGCTTCCAGATAAGTACCAGACATGGATCAGAACTGTGAAGTGAAGAGGTGTAAGTAGCATGCTGGTACTCCTAGCTACTTGGACTAGAGTAAGAGTTTTGGCTGAAGAGTCACTGAGGGACAAAGCACTGCAGTGGCACCCGGGTGACCTAGTCTGAATTCCTGATCCTCCCCTTGGTTTGCTTATCGACCTTGGGTAAATACCTTCCCGTGTTGTTTTAGAGAGAGAGTTAAGTATTGACTTTCTTGGCAAAACCCTTGGAGGTTATCTTAGGAAAAGTGCTTTATCAGAGAGGAGGGGGAGTGTGTTGTTGAGCCTTAAAGGTAGAGGTTCCCTCTGTGATCGTTTCAGCTATTATTTTTACCGGTCCCACTACCGCGATACGTTTCACAGGTCTGCGGGTGGTTGACTATGAGAGGAAGCCCCGCCAGAGCGAACTGAATCCCAGCGGGAGGGGTCGGTGCACTGGGCACCAACCAAGTTCGAGCTTCATTTGTGACAGCTGTTCGCAGGCGACTGAACACGAGAATCCTCTGAGAGTTTTGTCTTGTGAACTAGCAGAAAAAGTCAAAGTGCTTGAACTCACAAGGTGCCTCCCGTGGTAGCTTTAAGGTGTTCAGAGAAAAATGTTAAATTATGTTTATTTCTATTCCAAGAAACTCTGGTTGCGCGGTCTTGCCAGGAGCACCAGAGGCTGCATTCCGGTTTGAATAGGTTTTTAACCTCCTATTAGTGTTATGTTTGTAGTGGTTATATTGGACACTTGATTTTAGCAAGAGTAATTCCCTTTTTTTTAGAGATTCTGAAGAGTGAGTTTGTTTCTTAGTGCTATACAAACCTGTGCTCTCTTATTTATCTATTTATTTTTTTATTTCAACAGACAAAATGAGTGAAAAGCTGAAGCTTTCCAAGACTGGCATATGCTTTTAAAATCACTGTTACAAGCAGTCGAGTTGTTTTGGCTTATTAATTATGTGAAGCATTCAGGAAATAATGACTGATTAATTCTTTGAAGCCTTGCAGATGATAATATTAATTAGCTGTAATGGAAGTACGATCAATTTTATTGTAAGTGCATCGATATTATAGCAGATGTTGATGGCTAAAAAGGGCTTTTACTGGTTTTGGAGAGAGTTGGGCAACTGGAATGTACTTATGTGCTGACTAAGAAAAAAAAATTTTAATATATTTTGTGTGGCCTGTAGGTCTGAATATAATTAAATAAAAATATGCACCTGCTCGCTTGATTTATGAAGACGTGTGGTGTTATTCTTAACAGAGTCAGATGCTATGCCCAGGGAGAACAGGACTGGGGGAGCGGGCAGATGAAACAGAGCTCTGCAGACCCCTATTATAATTGCAGAATGGAGTCGCCACAGGTCGGGGTACAGTTTAAGTCTTTGTTGAATCGCATCAGTGTGGCCATCCTGTCCTGACGTGCTCTGTGGGACTTTCCTCAGCACAAAAATTATTGGGTCAGTGCAAAGGAATGTGACTTTGCATAGCGTGAATTCCACTGCAGGCAGTCTCTCCCTTTCAGTGGTGGTTCTCTGCTGCACAGGCTCTTCGGCTGTTTTTAGTAGACTTATGAAAGGTGACTCAGAGTATTAGAAGAGAACATTTCAGTTGGAAGGACAACACTTCACTAATCCAACTGCCTGAGCCCTTCAGGGCTGCCCAAAAGCTACACCATGTTAAGGGCACCGTCCAAATGCCTCTTAAACACTGCCAGGCTTGGGGCATCGGCCGCCTCTCCGGGAAGCTTCTCCAGGGTTTGAACACTGCATGCATAGCTGTAGCCTCTGCTGCTTTATTCATCAGAAAGCAGGAGCTGTTTTAGGAGGTGTGCTAATACAGGCTTTTCCCCCCAAAAGGTGGGAGAGGCTTCTGATGGCATGGCAGCGAGGTTAGAAAAAGGATGGTTTTCCTTTTATATATTTGAAAGGTGCCTCCAATAGAACATTTACAACTAATTTCTATAGTGCAGAGGGTTGTTTTGGGTTTTTTTTGTGTTTGTCAGGTTGTGCTGTGATCGCATATTGAATTCAGGCACTTCTTTGGAGCACCCCAGAAATACACAAGGATTTGAAGAGTCAAGACCTTCCCATAAAGCTTAGAGGTCCCGTTCTTCACAGGACAAAATTCCTGCCAATGCCCGTGAGAATTTGAGGTGAGAGAAGAAAGTATGATCAGAGCCTTAGGTCAGAGCACCGTGTACAATGTTGCCTGCAGTATTTGTGCACCGGTTATGCAAACGGTTCCCGAGAGAGCTTTCAGGAGATGTGGGCCCTTTATCTCCTTGCGCTGAGTCTGGCTAAGTGTCGTAACCTACTTACCTGCATCCTCTACTTCTGCCTGGATAAATGCGGTGCAAGCTTTGCCATGACCCAGTTTGTACAATGACGTTAGCTGGGTATGCCAGAATGATAAATTTGAAGAAAAAAAAAAAAAAAAAAGAAGAGTTCTGGGAGGAAGCTGTAAATAACAGGGCTCGCAGTATCTTTGAGATTTCAGAATGATGTTGCTTAAATTCACAGGGCAGGCACTGGCTCCTGATACCAGCAGGTTCTCTTTATGTAACAGCCACCCACAAGTAAAGACAAAAGGATCCTTACAGGTGTAATTTTGCGTACTCTTCTTGACCTCAGCGCTGTTAGGCTGATTATCTTTGGCAGTGGTGTGCCCAGATTCTCAGTAGTATATAAATTTAATGAAATGCAATTGTTTGAATGTGCACAAACAGGTCTGGAGTGTATAAATATTTGGTATTTGTGAATATTCAGGAAACGATTGTCTGTTCCTGTCCTGTTTATGTCTTGTCAGCGGGTCAGAACTTGCTCAGGCCCAGCCACGGAGCAGGTGATTGAAGTGTGGGGTTTTCTGAGTTTCAAACAAGAAATGAAACCCGATTTGAAGAAGTTTATTTTATTTTGCTTTTTTTCTTTTAAATTATTTTCTTAAAAAAGCCTCGCATTTCATCTGTTTATGAATGTTCAGACATCTGATTGCCAACAATATAAAGCCTATATGCCAACCTGAATACTTTTTTTCTTGCTAACTGGAAGGATATATAACTTTCTGGTCTTAGTTTAATGACACGCTAAAAATACAAACGCTGAGCAAGTGGTAAGTGACACATCTTACAAACTAGATGATTTAACCTGCGAAATGTGTTGAGCTGCTTTTGCATAAGAATTGAAATTTGCTAGAAATACAGAGACAGCATTGTTAATACCTTAAATTACATAATCTTACCAATGCCGAAAACATTAGAATTAGCGCTGATTGATTGTGGAGGGTTTGGGTGTATTGTGGGATCTTGTTTGCTCTTTAAAAAAGGAGGATCATTTGCAGTTGTTTGAATTGCTTGCGGATCGTCCTTCTGTTTGAGGTTTTGTCTGCTTGGTGTGTCCGCTTTTTAGAGACTGGGAAATAAAATAGTTTTTCTGCTTTCTCAAGCCTGGTCAGATTCATGACTGAGAATTGTTAAGTAATTAAATGGAACTAAGTTAAATACGTTACCCTGGCGTCTTCCATCCTTTCATTTCCGCAGTATAGATTCCCTTGCTACAAAGCCCAAAAGATTTTTCAGCCTCGTGTAGGG